AAAAAAATTAAAAACATTAAAAACAAGTTAAAGAACAACAACAAAAATGAAAATGAAAGAAAATAAAAACTCAAATTAAAATAATAATAATAATAAATGCAGTCATAGAGTTCAATTAACTTCTCTTCCAGTAGGTGTAGCTGCGCCCACTGGGCCATGCTTCTCCTCTCAATAGGTGGGAACCAATCACTGTGCAGCAGCTCCTCCTCCCAGACTGGGCGGGTCTCCAATCCTGTGTGTCTAGGGCCTTCTCTTGTGTTTCCTCAAGCCAGGCCCCGCTCACCTGTGAAGCTCACCTCAATACTGGCTACTTGCCAGGTCTGCTGCTTCTGGGAGCCCTGTTTTCATGAACGCCTGGGCACACTCTCCCTGTTTGCCTCCCTCAGACCCTAAGTTTGTAGAGCTTGGAGCTGAGAACCCCCAGCGAATTTGCTTGCCCTCCAGTAGCCACGCCCCCAGTAGTGGTGCCAGAGACCTCAATTGTCAGCACTATGGGAGTGGTAGCCGGGAGTTCGGTGCTGTGAGTCCCGCGCCACTCCTGATTCCCTCGGTCTGGCTATCGCGCTCACGGGAGAGCTGGGAGGGGCCCTTAAGTTTTCCCCACTGTCTCTCCCAAGCCCCGTTTCAATCCTGTGGCCACTGCCTATGAAGGCTCTGTTGGCTTTTACCTCTGTAAGTTCAGAAGGGCCGACCAGTTATTTCAGCGGGAAAGTTAGTGCTGAGTCACGAGAAGCAGGCGAACCAGAGCTTGAATGCAGCCGATCCGGACTCGGTGTGTGTTCTGAGAGGCCCAAACTGTTCGCCCCAGATCCACGTCAGCTCAGCATTGCCTAGTGATCCTGAGCAAACAGCATTTAGACAGTTTACGACTCCCTATGCCCCGCAGCTGAAGAGGTCAGAGACTTGATCTCTCCGCACCTGCCGCCATGTTGTATCTCCTAATGAAAAAATTCAATCTTTGAGATTTCTTATTTCTAATTCTGGAATAATAATAATACTTTATGTCTAAAGTCATGGACTTGGATCCAGTAACACTGAGGTTCTTTTTTAGACCTATGGTCAAATTTGGGACTCTTAGATATCTGTGTTCTACATATTTATCTGCAAGACTTAGCTGAATTGGGCAGGCTGGCTTGGTGTTATACCTTAAACTCTCTCAAGGACATGCCTGACATTGGCCTCCATCTCTTCTTTCTCATTCCTTAGACACAAATTTTAGATTATCTTCCTTCCATCTGGGAAGGGCTGACCTCTCTTAAAGTCTTATATTTTGTTTCCTTTATGAACCTCTCTGCTCCCTGTCCCTCTTTATTTATTTCTGGAAAGATCTGATTTCCAATTGCAATAAAATTCATGGATGCCAGGTGGATTTTCTCAAATATTATTCTTCCAAAAGCACAGTTTGATCCTATTATTTTCCTTTATAAAACACTTTGTTGTGACTACATAAATATCACTCCACAGACTTGGATCTTTGAGAAATACCACATTTTAAAAAATGTTATTAAATCTAAATCCCTATTCTTATAGCTGTCCAAAAATTCAATCATAGTACTTAGTGAGGGTCCTTTCCTCTCCCTAGAGTAGTCCACAAATTCAGGATGTATACATAGTGCCCAGAAAATAAAAGTAGTTTCCAATGTTCCATCTGTCCTGACTGCTATTCATATCCTCATTTTCCAGACCTGCATGGCTCCTGAAATGGAGGCATCTCTACAGCTATTTTGCCCCACAGAGAGATAGAGGTTTCTGTCTAGATGGGAGAATCAGTGCATGGGATACACCTATGAAGGAACTCTCCAAGTTCCCACTATTCACGTCACCAGATTTTAACAACTTATTCCCTTACCACTTGAAGAAATGTCTCTCACTCATCTGCCTCTTGCTTCTAGGATATCTATCTATCTATCTATCTATCTATCTATCTATCTATCTATCTATCTATCTATCTATCATCTATCTTCTCTCTCTTCTCTTCTCTCTCTCTCAGAAAATGCAGATAAATAATTACAATAAATCATTCTGCCACATCTTCAAATACTCATTTGAAGAAAATACATCCATGGATACTTACAACCTTACAATACTTTTAATACTTACAAAAAAAATACTTACAATACTTTTTTTCTTACAGAGTCAAAAATTCTCAACCTGATTTCTAAAGTCTTCATAATATGGATTCTGTCTTCTTTTCTAGTTTTTATGTTTCTCTATATCTCTCAAGGCCTACAGAAATTCTAATAATCCCCTCCACATTCTTCTAAGACACCCACATGCTAAAGTGATTGCTTGCAAGTGTCTCTCTGTTGGATACCTCTGTTGTCCATTTGTTCAGATGTGGCTCCAGGGTTGTTTCCATAGTGGGGCTTGTTCTGGATTCTCCAGATAGGAAGAGCCACTTTCTTCATATAGACCCCATATGCCCTGTAACATTTTCATACGCTTTTAAATATAGATATCTGTCTTGCCTCACTATTCCATTAATTCCTTGAGGACAGCAATCATATCTATTTCTTTATCCACTATTTAGCCCATTTTGGCTTATGAATGGTGCTCCATAAATAAATACACAGAACCAAGAATAAAGAAAATAAAAAACCAGCATATAGACCTGGAGGCATTAACCTCTGAGGTTGTAAGTATCCATGAATGTATTTTCTCACTAGCTAGGTGACAAAATAGGGAAAGTCTATGTGTAGGAGGCACATCCTTCCAACAGTTTATGCTAACGCTGTTTTTTCCTCCTCCTCCAATATATTCTACCTTAAAATACATTTGAACTCCTTGCCATTGGGTTCTGGGAACTGCTGTGGGAGGTTTACCAAGACTCTAAACCAGAGGTCCCAAACTGGCAAACAGTCAGTGAAACAGAGAAGTTGGCCATGGTTTTCTTGGTAAGCAATTAAAAAAAGAAAAGTCTAAGTTTTAATGCTCTTCACATAGTTACAACTACTACTTCACTCTAAAAGATACTTAAACCCAACTCTCCTAATCTAAGCCAGGTCTCCATATGAGTGAGCCAGTCAGCCTCAAAATCCTTCCACACTCTGGCCAGAAGTTGGTCCAGTGGCCAACTGGCCATTTTACTTTAGCGGGTATCTGAGGGTGCATGTGTGCTGAAAGGGTGCATGTGTGCTGAGATGGCACATGGAGGGCAGAGTAAGGGGAGTGATTAAAGAGCAAGAAACAAGAAAATGAGGGGAAAATGATCCTACCCATTCTGCTTCTTCCATCTCCAATGCAGGTGTGTATCATGTTGACACATAACCTTTCCAAGTGGGAATTTGCCCAGCATTGGAAGAGTCAACTCAGGTTCCACTCCACTTGGGTAGGTTTTAGCTATCTGCATAGAGGAAGTGTTTTAATTAATGCAATTTTTTTCAGTCTAATAAGTAATTATTTTTAACTTAAGTTGTATTGGGCCACATCCTAGAGCTACAGGGATGATGTAAATAGTGTACATACCCTTGAAGGGCATACAGTTCAATGAAGACAACAGACTTGTGAATGATAATAGCCATGCAGAGGTGATGTGGGGATTGAGCAGAGAGTCACTAGGCCCAGTGTGAAGATTCATGGCAGATTTTTCTGAAGGAGGTATCATCTTTGCTTGGAAAAGAAAGGTAGGCTTATGGGAGGTTGTATAGGAGACAAGGTTAAAGAATGAATTATAAAAGATACAACATGCCAAGATTTAAGCATCAGTCCAAATTCAATGAGGATTCTCAGATGTTTCTTAAGTACACAAATGAAGTAATTAAATTTGAATTTTAGAAATTCTGATCCTCTAAATGATACCCCACTTAAACTATACTAAGGCATTTTAATAAGTTAAATCTTATTTTAATCTGATGGATGTATTTTTGTGTGCTTATCTGCCAGTACTTGTGTGGATGAATGCACATTCTTGGGTATGTCTAGAAAATTCTAGATGTTCCTTTTCTTCCATTTTATTTGTTTTCTTGCTTTAAACCATGAGATAAAATCACTTGGAATGAAAGACTACAAACCAGCCAAAGATAGTCAAAGCTTCCAAAAGGGACATAAAACCTAAGACATCCTGGTTGCAAGTTGGCAAGTCAATAAATCCTATGGAAATATACTAGGTAATGCCAGGAATTTTTTTCTACACACACACACACAGAGTCTTTGTGCCAATTCAGCTCAAACTTTTTATATATATGAAATTTATATAGATAATATAATTGTGAATTGTGTGTTTTTGTCACTATAGTAAAAGTACCTTTATAGATTTTTAAATGAACACCATTACTTTGCAAATTGATTCTGCATCTGTTTTCCATTAAGGTTTACATGAATGATTAACAAATAGAATCTCAATGGGGGAGAAATTACAGAGCTTATTTATAAGGATGCCACATTTGAGCTTACCTCCAAGCTGTGGCTTTTACCCCCATTGCTCATATTTCTCAGCTTGCTGACATTCTAGCTTTCACAAAACCAAGATTTCAAGCAGCTAAATGTTGCCTAACAGAGAATGTCCCACTAGGATACTTTCTGTAAATCAGAAAATAAATCACAGTATGAGTAGGTGAGTGTTCAGGGCAGGATCTTTCTCTGTAGAGGGATGCTAGAGGAGGGACTTCATTTTGTCTTTGTCTCCCAGCTCCCAAATGGGACTGGGCATGTTATTTGTCACTTCCATAGTTAGTGCTGCAGGCTCTTGGCAAACATTTTTAATATGCTAAGGGTCTTATACATTTCTCTTTATAAGAACAATGAATAGAATTATGAAATCAGCAAAGTATGTCTTCTTAGCTTTCCTACCTTCACTTTGACCCTCCTAGGTACCATTTTTGATCACTGAATGACACTCATATCTGTCCCAAACCACTCTTCCTGATCTTCCTTTTACTGGTGTCTCTTCCTTTTTTTTCTGCCACAGTTGCAATTTAGAAGTCAGTTGGTTGAGAGATTTATTCCCACTACCCTATTAATGGCTGAAAGGTATTTCATATGTTATTCCTTCTAGAGATATTTGTATTTCTACTACAACTAGCTTACTCTATATCAAATAAATAAATCTGCAAAGATCATGGCAAAACTGATTTATTTTCTGAAGAAATTTGCTCTCAGTTTTTTCATTTGGCAAATAGCTATGGTATTAAGTTACTACTTTGACAGAGGTGCTTTGCTGGAGCTGATGGATACTCAGGTGGGACAGGCATGGATCTTGTTTTTAAATAGTAGTTTACAGGTGAATAAGCAGTTTTCAGACTGGAGGCACCAAGCTAGTAGAAGTCTTATTTACTGCTATAACCCTGCACCTAAAGAAAGCCTGTTCTTTGTAGATATTCAATAAAAATTTGTTGAGGGATTAAATAGCTAATTGAGATATGAAGAGATCAGAGGCAAATTAGCTTTCCCAACTATTCTACAACTTTGTAGGAAAGGGAGGGGAAGTCAATTTTAGAAGTACAAGTTTTATTGAACTTGTGTTGGACACTTGTAAAGGCAAACAAATCTTTGATTGGCTGACCCTGTCAAGAAAGCAGAGCAAAAGCCCTAATAAAACAAAACTGTGAGTACATCATCAATAAAAACATCAGAGCCTCCAAGCTGTGGCTTTTACCCCCATTTTACCCCACTTCTTCTAGGAAGTGATAGGGAAATTCTATTGAGGTCTTTGAAATCCTATTTGGAAGCTCTAGGGTTTTGGCTCCAAGCCAAATATTAACAATTTATTATATAATTAACAATATATTCACCATAGTAGTTACTATATCAGGAAAACTACATAGCCATTGAAATCACAGTGTATACTTTGTGACTAAAAATAATATATATGCCTAGAAACAAATCTGGAAGAAAACATACCAAAATGTCAATTAACAAGGATTTTCCCCCAGAGAATGGAATAATAGGTGATTCTCATTTTCTTTCCTGTACTGTCTTGATTTACCAAAACAATTTAAATAATCAAGATGTAAAGTCATAAAATGTTTTTTAAGAGTGGTAATCATTTAATGTAGCTTAAGTATTTTAAGTGCCAAGATGTGTATACTAGTCTATTTTAAACTGCTACAACAAAATGCTAGAGGCTGAGTATTTTGCAAAGAAAAAAGTCTATCTCACAGTTTTGGAGGCTAAAATTCTAAGATCAACTAGCTCCCTGGGTTTGGTCTCTGGGGAGGGTGTCATAGCAAATGGTGTCATGATGACAAGAGTACTTGTGATGGTCATCACATGGCAAGACATAAACCCAGAGAGTGGGAAGGGGCCAGTCTTGCTCTTTTATAATGACCCTCTTTTGTAGGAACTAAGTGGAATCCCATGAGATCTCTATTAATTTCTTCTGAGGTCAATGTCCCCAGTGACCTAACTGCCTTGCACTAAACCTGGCCTCTTAATGTCTTCAGCACCTCCCGATAGCATCACACTGAGAGTCAAGATTCCAATATATGAGCCCTTAGGGGACTGTAGCAATGTGTGTGTAAGGCATGGAAAATTCAATATTATAATATCTGTGTTTAAAAGGCCCAAAGATATCTACTTAAATGTCAATAAAAACCAATATTTTGCTATCAAGCAAGAAATTCCACATCTGACCTAAAAGTGTGATGAAGTTCATTTTATTTTTAAACAATTATAAAATAAAATAAATGATATGAAAGATGAAAGAGCCGTGCATGTCACATCCTCTGAGAGGCCCCTGGATGGAGGAAGGCTTTCAGAGAAGGAGCTGGGGAGTGGGGAAGTGGGAGGAAAACAGGTACTTTCTCCCAGTTCGGATCCAGTGATGATAGCAGGATTGAAAACTACCCTTTCAAGACACAATCCAGAGCCATTTCTAGATATCTTACATGATAAAACTGTATTGAGGTTTTGACAAATCGAATCAGGTTTTGTTGGTGGTATTTATACGTTATGGTGGAAACTGAAGTACAATATTTTAAAAATTCCTTGGTGGTTTCTGTGCACCCTTTCAAATGTGCTTTGCATGTGACCTGGAGAGGAAGTCTGAAGCT